CCATGCTGAGGCCGCGTCCCACATACAGCAACTAGAAGGATGTGCAACTATGACATACAACTATCTACTGGGGCTTTGGGGGAAATAAATAAATAAAAATTATAAAAAAAGAAGAAAGTTAACTAAGTAAAATACCCTTACATCCATAATCATTTTGCAGTTTTTACAAGGTCCAATCTGGCTAAAGAGCTGGAGAATTAGAGCTTCTGTCACATCTCTGGAAAGGTTACCGACATATCTGAAACAGAAAGAAAAACAATTTACCATCTTAAATTTGCTTCTTTTGCATCAGTTTCTAAAGTTGCTTACTGAAAAATAAAACTTTGTGAATAGGTAGATCTTTGCCTTAACTACAGTGTTTGGGAATAGCTTATAAAAGCTTGCAAATCTTCAACATCTCTTTAAAAACAGATTTAAGATGTTACTTGCAAATATATTAGACACTGCTAATACAGGGGAAGCTTGTGTGCGTGTGTGTTTTATTCAAGGTTTTGCAAATTAAATCTGTTGTTTCTTTCTAAGCTTCTAGGTTTACCTTAGGAAGATACGCTTAAAAATCTCTCAAAAGAATCATTAGATATACAGAACATTTTATACAATCAATCCTGAGAAGCTTTGCAATTATTTCTACTTCTACAATATCAATGAGTAAATTTTCCTCAATTCTTAATTCACATGATTCCCCTAACAGTCCAATTTAGGTATACTTTGGTTTACACAATAAACATATTTTTGAAAAATCATGGGTAAATCACTTAGGTGTTGTACATGCTCACAAAGGGATGGGAAACCTTTCAATGAATATTACTGATCAGTGGAAGTGGAGAGGGAGTACAAAGATTCCAGGAGAGATCTTTAACAGATAATATGACTTGGTGAGTAACAAACTTAACTAGTCTAAACAGTGTATTGCAAACTGGGATGACATTTATTTAAAAGGTTTATAAATAAACTTTCAAAATGGGATTTTGAAATGAGATTGCCTCTAGACACGTTAGAGGTAAAAGCAATCACTTCTGAAATCAGAGAATGCAGTCTCCCAACAACCATAGTTTCTCATTCTTCTGCCAAGAATCCTTCAGAGAATATGATGAAAGGTATGGACTCTCTCCCCAGAAAACTAAACATCTATACATGCCAGAAAGTGCGGATTCAATTTCTTCCTTCCATTTACCCATTCAACAAACATACTGAGTTCTTACTACAAAGACACCGGAATACGTTAAAATGGCAAAAGGAGAAGTGGTGAGTCTCAGGGAACAATGAACATTAAAACATCAGGTGGAATAATGATACTCAAAAAAGCAACAGCAACATCTAAACAACAGCAATTTTTCCAGTACTAGAGGTTATTATTACACCAAGTTCTTCTTCTGAAAATCAGTAATTAAAGGGAAAGAATTAAGCATTTATCTTGCCTTTTGAGTAGAAACTCCAGTACAGTATAATCTAATAGCTCTAGCTGATGAGGGAAAAGCTCTTCTTTACAGAGAAATGGTAGTCAATAAATGTAGACAGCCAGTATAACAATGTAATGTGTAAGCCCTACTGAAATAACTGATTCAGGCAAGAAGCATCAATGGATGCAAAACCATTAGGTGAAATGTTGGGTGTGAAAATGGATATTTGCAGGGTTTCAAAGTTATCACATAGATTACTTAAAAATAGCAAAGGGAAACCCCCCCTTAAAAAGTAAGAACTTTGGCTGTTTACCACTTTGACCCAGTGATCAAACTTTAAATCATTTTATAGATGGGCAATGAGACATTGCGTACAATATGAATTATACAATATCACCTATGAAGTATTCAAATCAAAAAAACTAAATTGAATCTAGTCAAGCTTTTCTTTTTTTTTTTTTTGTAAGATTGGCCCTGAGCTAACATCTGTTGCCTCTCTTCCTCTTTTTGCTGAGGAAGATTGGCCCTGAGCTAACATCTGAGCCAGTCCCCCACTATCTTGCATGTGGGATGCTACTACAGCATGGCTTGACGAATGGTGTGTAGGTCCATGTCCAGAATCCGAACCCACGAACCCCGGGCTGCTGAAGCAGATAGTATTTAGGGAACCTGAGTTCTATCATTTACTCTTTGCAAAATTGTCTAAGATTTTGAGAAATATTTTCTGAGTGATATACCTAGTTTGAAGATAGGTAATTAAAAAAATAATAAGCTACTTTAAAAAGCACCAGGGTTTGTAATGCCTTTACATTTGTTTATTTAACGTGGCCTGTTGTATACTATAAGCTCCAGGAGCCTCTACCAATTAACTCTACACACAACTGTTTAGGAGAAATGGTCTTCAGAGGAAGTTACACAAACAACTTACTCTTAACCTTTGACATCAATACCGTAAGCTACAAGTAACATATATAACATATTCATACCAAAGAAATCAAATGACAAAAATCTCCTTTTCTTCCTTGTGCAAATAAAAATTACCCATTAGTCTTTTGCTTTTTACCAATAAGTTATTCACTAATACTTACCTCAAATTTTTAGAAACAACTTAATGATGTTACTTTCCAAGTCTACTTGCTAAATAAATACTAGTTTGAGACAGAAAGCCCAAATCTGAAATCTGCAGACCATTTTTATACTTAAAATACTTTCAATGGAAAAATAAACAAGTTTCTTATAGTTTTTAGAATGTTCTATACTTTAAAAAGTTCACTCTAATTTTTATAGATAAATGTTTCTTCAGTTGTTCCATACTTTGTCACATACCATTCTGTTTCCGAAGCCAAAGGATTTCCTATCAACAGTAAGGATTTAAGTTACGTGTGTAGTGGATTATTTTTTTCTTTTTGGCTGCCAAACATTTTCCTTCCTATTTTTAGAGAAATCTTCACCCTATGGCAGAGCCTGACTCCTCTACAGAAGCTGAAAAGGCTAGATATGGTTTTGTAGTCTCCCCTGCATGGATCTAGGCTAGTTCAATTAGAGACACCAGTCCTTAACACAGAAGATAAAGATAGGGCTTAAGGAAGCAGAGATTGAAGAGAATCCATTTTGCTGGTAAACAGCAGTAGAGCCCAACGTCCAGTGCAAGTGGAAGCTGTGGTGTCTGGTCCTCAGGGGATGTGGTAGTAGTATCCTTTCTGGATGGTCAGTTGTCTCTCTTTAATGAACATCTTCTAAGTCAGGTTCCATAAGCTTCCTGCAAATTCTGGGAGTGTCCAATATCTTTTTAACATATTTCTTTTATGCTTTTTTTTTACTGCTTGTATTTAAGAAAATCCTGACTGATACAAAAATTGATACTGGAGCAGTTGCAAGCCAAGGTTCCCTCTCACGATGTCTACAGGACTACTAAACAAAAATGTAATTTTCTTACATTTAAATAGCTTGTACTTTTCAAAACACTTAATTGTGTTTTTTGGAATCACATTAAATTATCTGTTTTTAGCTATTCCATGGACTTCTTCTTAACAGCATGGATTGAAGTATCCCATGTTGATAAGTTATTATATCATCTCTGAGATCATGTATCACCCTTATGTAGAACTGGACAGGAGCAGAAGAGAATTAACTGTTAGGGCAAAGAGACTTCAATGAACTTAAAAATGTCTTCCTTGGGCAACTGGATAAATATGAATATGAACTGTATATTAGTTAACAATATTGTACCAATGTAGTCTACCTAATATGAAAATTGTATTGTGATTATGTAAGCGAATGCCCTTGTTTTTAAGAAATATATGGTATTTAGGCTGTAAGTGTCATGATCTTTTCTCAAATGGTTCAGCAAAAAAGTAATATACATAAATAAGGCAAATTGGGCTAACTATTAGTAATTGGTAAGGTCACATGAAAGGTACCCAAGTCTTCAATGTATTATTTTTATTTTTCTGTAGGTTTTTAATTTTTCAAAATAAAAAGCTACCTGAGAAAATTCAATGGAAAAGTCATCAATGCTACTAGTCAAAACTTGACAGTTCTGCCAGGGATAGGATTTCACATCAATTTAATACATATTTATGAGGCTGATAACTAAATTCAAATAGTGTTTTAGAGCACTGTAAGTGCTCTATAAATATTTGTTAAAGTGATAACTGTACACTCTCAGAATTACTTTTGAACATTTGCAATTTGCTAGGAAATTATCCCATTTTGCCTGACTCTAGTTCAGGGGGAAAAGGTGTTTGTCTTTTACTAATTATTTAATTATGTAGAACAGCAAATGCTTATATATATACTATACACCAGCATCATAACCTTACTATTATTTAATAACTGTCTACTCTTCACAAAGGATAGTCTGTTGCGTGATAGCTGAAACCCTCTTATTTTATTAGCTAGCACCTCCTTCACCTGGGCATCAGACCATAAACATAAACCAGTCTGAAAAAATGCATCTACTATTATGCCAGAAGACATCCTAAGACATCCATGCTCTCAAGAGTCTTCTCATTTTTACTTATACTTTGCAACATACTAACATTTTAGATGACCGATATTACACATTTGTAAATAAACCTTATTGCTGACTCCCTTCTCACATCCCACATCCAATCCATTGGTAATTGCTGTTGCTCTATTTTCAAAACATATCCAGAACCAAACCAATTCTTACAAACATTTCCAAAGTACTGCTGATGAGAAATTGAATACTGGCAATCTCTAACCTAACACGGTGATGCTGAACACTCATTTGTGGCAAATGAAGGCATTTCCTCTGAGCCATTTAAGTACACAGGTGATATTGAGATTGATACTGAGATTCAGACTATATTTTACACTCAAGAATGAGTAAAATCTTGATTCACTGCTTGGAATTGTACCAGTTTTTAAAACAAATTTATTGATCACTTACCATGGATCAGACACTGTGCTAAGAACATACTAAAAGCCCCTGACTTCCATGTTCACTAAAACAAACATTTCATATTAAAGGTAAAAATATTGCTGGGAAAACTTAAGGATTGGTACCTACTCATATTTAATCAAGATTGGTCTGACTGGAAGCATGGGAGTTTTGGTTGGGGAGGTAGAAGTGAAGAGATAAGAGGAAGTGTTAGAGCATGAACTACTTTGGGGAAAAGACTTTTGGATGGGGTGTTCTAATGAAGGATGCAAGGCAAAAGCAGTCCTAAATGTAAGTTAAAAGTTGAGGACAGTAGAGTTGCAGGATGATGAACAAAAAGGTATATGACCTTGACTGAGTTAAAGTCTAAGCTTAACTTTTCCTCAGCTTAAACATGTACTCATTTACCGCAGAGTTCTGATGAGCATTAAACAAGCACTTGCAGCACTTAAAACAGAACCTGGCGAATCACAAGCTTTAGGTAAGAATTTGTTGAATAAAACTTCCTTCATTATTTCTCCTGCAATGGTTGGTCCCCTCTCCCCAAGCTAGTACTATTTAACTACCTGCTTTTGTAGACTGGCCTGAGAAAGCTGAAGTTGTCTTCATTATTTGATAGTCCCAAATCAACGTACTAAAAACGTTACGTTCCCAGATATTTCTGGCAGTTTCTGAAATTAAAAATTCCGAAATAATATAAGAATCTTAAATTTAAAGACATTATAAAAGGTGAGCAGTGCTTAATCCAATATGTTGCTGGCTATCATACTTCTAGCTAAGAGGCAAGGTGAAAAAAATGCTTCCATAAACTCTATGAGGCTGTTTAGGGAGTATTCATCTACAGATATAATCTTTCAAAAAACAAAGGTCATGCACTAATTGCTGCATCCTATTAAAAAGATACTTAAGGTAACAGATTATCAGATAAACTAGGAAAAAGTTTACTAATCTATTAAGGAAACAAGTGTGACTATATTTCCCATTTAGATTACAAGATGGAAACTTTTTCGGTGATGGAAAAAATAATTGATTACATTGTACTTCATAACAACAACTGTAATAGCTAGAGAGTTGCAAAGAGAAACCTAAAATTGTATTTTTTACGCATAGAGTTCTCAAACTGCCAGTATTCTAAGAATAAAAACAAAAACCTATGTCAAAAATTCATCGGGCTTTTTCTTTTTTTCAGAGAAAAGCAACAAAGGCAGGAGCACCTCATCCGAAAATACTTTGAAAAACAAAGGAAAATGCTGTGGGGGAAGCTACACGACAAAGAAAATATCCCAAACTGAATTCATTTGACACTAATTCTAAAAATTCTCAGAGGTGACTAAATATGTTGATATTTATCAACTGTTGCTGCCTAAACACTGCCCGCTGGTTCAGCAACATGTCAATCACAAAAGTAGCAAGCGATGACAAAAATGTATTAAATCCACTTCCTCTCAATTGATATATACCTCCGGCTGAGATTTCCATTTTTAAAAAGCAGTTTCAAAATCCTTAGGGACTCCGGTTTTAGGCTTTTTGGTAAGGGGTCGGGGTCGGGGGTGCTATAGAAGGAAAACCAGAGAGGTTAGAGGAAAACATCTGGCTTTTTCCCAGTTGGCAACTGTAAGAATAAAGTTTTACCTCACTGAAAATGAGTACAGGCAGCCTCAAGAGAAAACTGCCTATCAACGAGAAGAAAATGAAGAATTTCACGAGGAAATCAAAGTAAAATTAAAGGGAGGCGGCTGTACAGATCAAGAGATTAATCAAGGAGGGGCGGGAAAAAAGGAAAGCATGGGACAAGAAAAGAAGGTTCGCCCAGTTCTAAGGCGAGGTTTGAATGAAAAAGTCTTTTGTCCAGGCCTAAGACCCCAGAGGGCCCGTGGCGAGGCCAAAGGCCACGCTGAGGTGTCCTTCAGGTGAATGAGGTGGAGAGGGTCGAACCCTCTCCCTCCGCCTCGTCCTCTCACTGCCCGGCTCTCCGTCCCTAAGCATCCAAGTGTGCGCCAAGGAGGGGAACCATGATCTCGCGGCATCCTCGGAGAACAATAGGCTGGGGAGCGGCCCAGCGCCGAAGCCTCCCTCCGGGACGACCACCATCCCGCCCCCCTCAGCGCTGCCCCAGACTCACAGAGTCTTGGGCATCTCGTCCTCCATGGCTGCTGCTGTCGCGGCGGCGCCTCCGGGTCCAGCTCCCTACCCTTTACTACCTCCCAAATCTTTTGAACGGCTATGGCTGCGGGATAGCGGGGTTTCTCGGCTGACGGGAGGTTACTCTGCCTCCTTTTTCGGCGGCAATTACACGAAACTGCCCGGCCCAGCAGGAACAATGAAGCCCCAAAACAAGATGGCGGCGAGCCGGGAGCCCAGGAGCAGCCAGCGAAGTGACCCGGGCTGCGCAGGCGCAGAATAATCCTGCACTTTCAACCTCCCGGCCGCCAGGCTACACCTCAACCCATAGGTTCACTTGTTGCGCAGCCGCTCTTCCACCCGAAGCTTGGGATGTCTCAGACTGCGCAGGCGTGGGGGTTACCTGTTTCAGGACTTGCGTGAACATTTTTGTCTTCCAGTTACGAATTCGAATGTTTCAACTGTGAATTATAAGGAAATAGAAATCTGTATGAAAATTAAAAACTATAAATGTTTAGAACTCTTGAAATTACTTTGTTTTAAAGGTGGCAAGAGTAAAACTGCGTGCGCCGCCCGGGAATCGAACCCGGGTCGCAAGAATGGGAATCTTGCATGATACCACTACACCAGCGGCGCTGACGGTAGCAGAGCGCGCTGAAATATCTTAAGGCTGAGTGCAAGCAGACGTTCGTTCCCCTACGATGATGATTTGTTTATTCATGTACAAATAAAAGTTTATTGAGAGTCTATACTCTGCTGTTTTTCATTGATATAAGAAGCGATTTATCTTCTCTCATCCCAATACAGTTGAATGGATGTTTTTACTTTTTCTGTACAGAAAAATCTCAATTAAATTTTTTTACTTAAAAAAAAAAGTTTCAAGAAGAATTTGTCTTGTTGGTGTTAAATTATTGAGAGCCAGGAAAATATTTCCAGATCTTTGCTGAATTTTCTATTTGCATTTTCTTGGTATATTCAATGTACATTGGAAAATACTTAAGAAATATTTAATTCGAATAGGTCACAAGAATCCTAAAACTAAATGAGTCAGAAGATATGTAAATTTCAGTCCTCTTCCAGTGGGGCAGAAAAATCAGGGCTCTGAAATGTGGTTCAGTGTACTCATTATGCATTTTGTATTGCATTTTATAAATTATGTAAATTTTTTTAAACATAGGAGAATATACGCATTCAAAAATCTGATGTCCTCTTTGAAGTAGTTCCTTTAGACTATAATACTTTTGGATTTCCGTTTTTGGAATTGTCTTTAGAATCTGTAACACATTCTTTGGATTTTATTAAAAGATATCAAATATTAGTCTTTTGAGGATGAATGAGACAAATGTTAATAGTGGATAGAAATTTTTTTTTTAATTTTTATTTATTTATTTATTTTTCCCCCAAAGCCCCAGTAGATGGTTGTATGTCATAGTTGCAGAGCCTTCTAGTTGCTGTATTTGGGACGCGGCCTCAGCATGGCTGGAGAAGCGGTGCATCAGTGCGCACCCGGATCCTAACCCGGGCCGCCAGCAGCGGGGCGCACGCACTTAACCACTAAGCCACAGGGCTGGCCCTGGATAGAATTTTTTAACAGCTTTTTGAGATATAATTCACATAACATACAATTCACCCATTTTTGTTTTACTTGTTTTTATGTTTGAGTAAGGGTTTTATTTTTTATTTTTAATTTTTTTTAATTTCTTAAATTTTTTGTTTATTTCAGTAACATTGGTTTATAACATTGTATAAATTTCAGGTGTACATCATTATACTTCTATTTCTGTATGGATTACATCATGTTCTCACGTTCACCACCCAAATACTAATTACAATCCATCACCACACACATGTGCCTAATTATCCCTTTCGCCCTCCTCCCTCCCCGCTTCCCCTCTGGTAACCACCAATCCAATCTCTGTCTCTGTGTGTGTGTATATTGTTGTTATTATCCACTACTTAATGAGTGAGATCATACGGTATTTGACCTTCTCCCTCTGACTTATTTCACTTTGCATATTATCCTCAATGCCCACCCATGTTGTCACAAATGGCTGGATTTCATTGTTTTTTATAGCTGAGTAGTATTCCATTGTGTATATATACCACATCTTCTTTATCCATTCGTCCCTTGATGGGCACTTAGGTTGCTTCCAAGTCTTGGCTATTGTGAATAACGCTGCAATGAACACAGGGGTGCCTGTATCTTTACGCATTGGTGTTTTCATGTTCTTTGGATAAATACCCAGTGGTGGAATAGCTGGGTCGTATGGTAGTTCTGTCTTTAATTTTTTGAGGAATCTCAGTACTGTTTTCCCTAGTGGCTGCACCAGTTTGCACTCCCACCAACAATGTATGAGAGTTCCCTTCTCTCCACATCCTCTCCAACACTTATTTCCTGTGTTGTTAATTATAGCCATTCGGACGGGCATGAGGTGATATCTCATTGTAGTTTTGATTTGCATTTCCCTGATAGTTAATAATGTTGAACATCTTTTCATGTGCCTGTTGGCCATCTGTATATCTTCTTTGGAGAAATGTCTGTTCAGGTCTTTTGCCCATTTTTCAATTGGGTTGTTGGTTTTTTTGTTGTTGAGATGCATGAGTTCTTTATATATTTTGGAGATTAACCCCTTATTAGATGTATGGTTTGCAAATATCTTCTCCCGATTGTTAGGTAGTCTTTTCGTTTTGTTGATGGTTTCCTTTGCTGTGCAGAAGATTTTAGTTTGATGTAGTCCCATTTGTTTATTTTTTCTATTATTTCTCTTGCCTGGTCAGACATGGTGCTTGAAAATATGTTGCTAAGACTGATGTCGAAGAGCGTACTCCCTATGTTTTCTTCTAGAAGTTTCATAGTTTCAGGTCTTACATTCAAGTCTTTAATCTATTTTGAGTTAATTTTTGTGTATGGTGTAAGGTAATGATCTACTTTCATTGTTTTGCATGTGGCTATCCAGTTTTCCCAATACCATTTGTTGAAGAGACTTTCCTTTCTCCATTGTATGTTCTTGGCTCCTTTGTCGAAGATTAGCTGAACAATTCACCCATTTAAAGTGTACAGTTCAGTGGTTTTTAGTGTATTCACAGAAATGTGCAATCATCATTATAATCAATTTTATAACATTTTCATCACCCTAAAAAGGAAACATTTACCAATTGGCAGTCACTCCCTATTCGCCATCCCACCCCTCTCCCCCGCCTACTAATCTTCTGTTGCTATAGATTTGCCTATCCTGGACATTTCATATAAATGGAATCATACAGTATATGGTCCTTTGTGATTGGCTTCTTTTCACTTAGTATTATGATTTTATGGTTCATCCATGTTGTAGCATGTATCAATACTTCATTCTTTTTTTTTTGCCACAAAAAATTCCATTGCATGGATATAGCACAAGTTTTTTTAAGCTTTAAGAACTTTATTAATATTACATTATTTGTTTATATATTATACACTTAAAGATACAAAAGTAATACATGCTCACTGTCACAAGTAAAACAATATAAATAAATAAGGAAAAGATTAATAATTCCCTCATTCTTTCCCTCTTGAGGTAACTAATATTAATAGATTAGTCTGTAAGCTTCCACATCTTACTTTTTATGCATGCCAATACACGTGTATATAAGTACTTGGGTTTTTTTGTTATTTAACAACATCTGCTTATGCCATGGCTAGTACTTTGCAATTTTCTTTTTTTTTAAATTGAAGTGTAATTGACATAAAACATTATATTAGTTTCAAGTGTACAACATAATGATTCGATATTTGTATACACTGCAAAATAATCACCACAATGAGTCTAGTTACCACATATCACTATATAAAGTTACAAAATTTTTTTTCTTGTGAGAACTTTCAAGATCTATTGTCCTAGCAACTTTGAAATATACAATACATTATTATTGACTATAGTCATCATGCTGTACATTACATCCTCATGACATTTATTTTATAACTGGAAGTTTGTACCTCTTCATCCCCTTCACCCACTTCACCTTCCCCTACCCACCCCCCAACAACCACCCATCTTTTCTCTGTTTTTCTGAGTTTTGTTTTGTTTGTTTGTTTGTTTTGTTTTTTTAGATTCCACATATAAGTGAAACCAGATGGTATTTGTCTTTCTCTGTCTGACTTATTTCACTTAGCATAATATCCTCAAGTTCCATCCATGTTGTCACAAATGGCTAGATTTCATTCTTTTTTATGGCTGAGTAGTATTCCATTATATATATACAATATATATATTATAAATATACTGTGTGTGTGTATATATATGTATATGTATATATATGTGTATATCTATATACACACACATATATATATATATACACGCACATCTTCTTTATCTATTCATCCACCAATGGACACTTGAGTTGTTTCCATATCTTGGCTATTGTAAATAATGCTGCAGTGAACATAGGGGTGCCTATATCTTTTTGAACTAGAGGTTTTTTCTGAATAAATACCTGGAAGTGGAATTTCTAGATCATACGGAAGCTCTACTTTTAATTTTTTGAGGAACCTCCATACTGTTTTCTATAGTGGCTGCACCAATTTACATTCCCGCCAACAGCGCACGAGGGTTCCCTTTTCTCCACATCCTTACCAACACTTGTTATTTCTTGTCTTTTTGACAGTAACCATTCTGACAGGTGTGAGGTGATATCTCATTGTGTTTTTCATTTGCATTTCCCTGATGATTAGTGATGTTGAGCACCTTTTCATGTTCCTGTTGGCCATCTGTATGTCTTCTTTGGAAAAATGTCTGTTCAGATCATCTGCCCATTTTTTAATCGGATTGATTGTTTTTTGTTATTGGGTTGTATGAGTTCTTATATATTTTGGATATTAACCCCTTATCAGATATGTGATTTGCAAATATCTTCTTTCATTCAGGTTGCCTTTTTGTTTTGTTGATGGTTTCCTTCGCTGTGCAGAAGCTTTTTAGTTTGATGTAGTCCCATTTATTTATTTTTGCATTTGTTGCCCTTCCCTTTAGAGTCAGGTCCAAAAAATTGTCGCCATGTTAAGGAGCTTACTGCCTATGTTTTCTTCTAGGAATTTTATGGTTTAAGGTCTCACAGTCAAGTCTTTAATCCCTTTTGAGTTGATTTTATGTATGGTATAAGGTAGGGGTCCAGTTTCATTCTTTTGCATGTTGCTGTCCAGTTTTCCCAAGACTATTGAAGAGACTGTCCTTTCCCCATTGTGTATTCTGGCCCCCTTTGTTGTAAATTAGTTGACCATGTATGTGGAAGTTTATTTCTGGGTTCTCTATTCTGTTTCATTGATCTATGTGTCTGTTTTTATGCCAATACCATACTGTTTTGATTACTACAGCTTTGTAATATAGTTTGAAATCAGAGAGCGTGATGCCTCCAGCTTTGTGCTTCTTTCATGCAACTTTCTTTTCTCACTTAAAATTATGTCATAGATATTCTCTAGGTCAACTAATACAGGTCTAGTTAATTGTTTTTTAATAGCTGCAGAATAGTCCATAAAATGAATGTGTCACAATTTATTCAATGGTAAATTGAATAAATGACCATAAATGGTATTGATGGCCATTCAGGTTACTCCTGCTTTTCTTTTCTTTTCTTTTCTTCTACTACAAACAAGGTTGCAATAAGCATCCTGGTATGTATATCCTTGTAACTGATTCTTTTCTTTCTGTAAAATAGATTCTCAAACATGGGATTTATGAATTAAATAATCTATTTATTTATTTGTATATAGATATATCTTAATAGATAGTTGTTTTTAAAAGGTTTTAGTCATTCACAGCCCTACAAACAATGTTTGAAAATCAATTCTTGTGATCTCCACCCTCTCCACCTCATGATCTCCTACATCCTAAGATGTTATTAGTCTTATTAATTTTTGCCAATGCGATAGATTAAAAATGGTATCTCTTTGTTTCAATTTGCATTCATCTAAACTACTACTGGAGCTGAGCGTTTCCTCATGGTTTTTTTTCGAGCATAGGCACTTACTTTCTCTTTTGTGAATTGCCTATTCATATACTTAGTCTATATTTATATTGAGATGTTTACTTCATCTCATCAATTTGTAAAGCTTTTTGTGTGTTTGTGATACACACTCCAGTCTTGTCTGTCATATTAGTGGCAAATATATTTCTCATGCATTATTTTTTTTGACTTGTAAAATTTTATCTTTTGCTATCTGAAAATGTTTGTTTTATGTAGTCAAATATGTTTATCTTTTCTTATATTGCTTCTGAGTTTCTGTCTTGTCTAAGACAGAATAAATATCATTTAGACTATTTAGAATAAGAAAGAAATGAGATGTGAAGAAGTGAGAAGGTATGAAAACGAATTTCTTCGAGGTAGTTTTGAAGAAAAAAGAAACATGGAGCAGTGGCAGAATTATAGATCTGAGTGTTGTCAAAGATAAACAAAGCCCGATACTAAAGTTTAAATTTTAATCAATAACATGCTATTGCAACAGGAAAAAGAGTCCAGTGTGAACTGAACTCAACTTGGATTTGTACAGAGGTGACCGGGCGTTTTAAAGGGAAAATGAAGGAATAGGGAGGTGGATAAGCAGGGGCCCAGTTGAGTCAGGGAAGCGAAAGATTACAAACATTGAGAAGGGTGGGTAACTGGGGCTTGTCAGTTAGGTTCCTACCACGCCACACGGACTGGGAGAAAGGGGCTCTATCTCCACATGTTGGCTGGAGCAAACAGTAAATTTTTTTGGCAGCTTTGAATTTTCTCAGACAGACACTTTAAAGGGAGCTAGGGTCATCCCAAGGATGCAGCTTTGAGCTGATAGAAACTGTGTTAGTGTTTTTTTCAAGTCTTGATAGGCCAATATTGAGGCCTAGTCGAGAAGAGTATCTTAGTGTTTAGCTTTCTAGAGAGACTGCTTTTTTGAACAACACTTCTTTGAATAAATGTTTGTTATACTACCTTATTATTACCCTTCATATATGTGGTAAAATTTTCCCTCCATGATTTTTAAAAAATGTTTTTGAGTTTCAGTGGCAGTATTATTTTGAAAGGGCAAAGGTGCAGAATGAGAAACCCTTCAGCCCACTTTCCACTTTGCAAGTCTTTTACGCGGTCCTTCACTGAGTGTCCTGTCGGTAAACTCTTTCCCAAGGTTTCAGTAGCAGAAATGAAAGTTTCCAAATATGACACTTTTGTCAAGGTCACTTAACATGGTCAATTCTAATCAAGCAACAAATATTTATTGAGGACCTAGTAGGCTTAATGCACTATGGTGTTGTGGGGACACTGTAGCTTGCAAAAAGGAAAGGAAAAGGCGCACACAGTTTAGCTCTTTCTTTGTAATTTCTAGATGTAGTGGAAAAGGAGACCTGATCTTCATATTTTTACGTTCTTAAGTAGAAGTGTTTATTTCTTGTATGACTTGCATCTTGTTCCATTAACACCTTTACTTCCCCTTTCTTACTCTGCTCCACTGGTCTCCTTGCTGTTCCTCTAATACCAGGCACCCTCCTTTCCTAGAAAGCTGTTTCCCCAGATATTTGCAGGGCCCACTCCCTCACTTTCTGTAAGCTTTTATTCAAATGCCATTCTGCTCAATGAGGCCTATCCTGACCATCCTATTTGAAATTGCACCCTATTCCCCATTCCTCTCATCCCACTCTATATATATCATTTCCTTATTTATTCTAATTATCATCTGTTGTTCTCCACTGGAATGTCAGCTTCATTAGAATAAATATATATATATATATATGTTTTTAGCTGAGGAAGATTCACTCTGAGCTAACATCTGTGCCAATCTTGCTCTATTTTGTATGTGGGTTGCTGCCACAGCATGGCTGCCGACAAGTGGTGTGGGTCCATGCCCAGGAACTGAACCAGGCTGCTGAAGCAGAGTGTGCCGAACTTAACCACTAGGCCACCAGGCTGGCCCCTAGAATACATATTTTTAAAAATCTGTTTTGTTTACTGATTTTTCTCAAGCACCTAGGACATTGCCTGCCACTTAGAAGGAACTCAATAAATAACTGTCCAATGAACAAATGCTTTTTGCACTAGATTTCTACTCCTTTTCTCCAAGTTAAACCTTTCTTTCTATCTAAGTTATTTTCTTTTCATCCATACTGCTTCTTCATGTTCATATACTGGTTTTTCTTTTCTTTTTTGCGGGGGGGGGGGGGGGGGGGGGGTATTTTCATTGCAGAAATGGGATCAAATAATACCCATTACTCAGCCACCAGCTTTT